AATGCCATATTGTAATAATACATGGTTTTGATTTTTTTTTTTCCCCTACTGTTTCACAGTTGGCCTTTGTAACTGCTATTGGCTCTGGAGTGTTTTCTACACAGAAATGGTAAGCCTGTAATCTAACGCACAGACGGAGACGTGTTTGGTTTCCATCAGCCACAAACAATGCAGAAACAGAGTGTTAAAGTGGAACGACTGAGTTCAGTTAGGACTTTTCTTTATTTCCAAGTCTTCAGATGAAAAATCTATATTTATTTTCTTTACTAGCAGCTGTGAGATTTTCCTGATTTTTGTGGTGTACACTGCAATTCAATGTCAGTTTAACTGAGTGGGCATCTGGACAGCTTTCCCCAGTCATGGTCAGCCTTTACAGCCACCTTGGTCGGCTACTGCCAGCTCAGCCACATTTTATTGTCATCTAGTGTCACACAAAAGAAAGAGGAGGTTAGCCTCCTCTCCTACACTTCTTGTTTGCAAGCAGAGAATGTATTTGGAGCTGTTTCATGAAGATACCTACCTCCTCAAACCACAGCACTACTCTTGGTCGAAGAAGAAGGCTGGTCACTCAGGTTTGTAGCATCCTTTCGTTTCTGATCACTTTGCGCCATAGTAAGTGCTGTTTTGAATGCTGGGGTGTCCCAGGTCCTGGCCAGACATGCCTGGAGATGATATTCATTTTGTGCTTTGGCTTTGGTGCACAAAATCTCCCCAGCATCACCTGAGACCTGGCCATGACTGGACATGGGGCATGGCATTTACAGGATCTGAGCTTTGCCACTGACTTATTGCACAGAGTCATGAGAGCAGCGTTGATACTGCTACTGCTTATCTCCTCAGCCTATACCTGCTGGGTCCCTTTCTGCAAGCTTTGCTCTGGTCACCACTGGCTGTGGGGCCTTCCCAGCATGGGGACAGGAGGAAGAAGAGGACAATATCCTCTAGTCAAAGGCAAGGTCTGGGACCCTGACATCTCTGCCCCACAGCCAGGAGTCACGGTTGCAGCATAGTTTGTTGGTGTCACTGAAACCAAGGATGTGCTGGTTGTCTCAGTGGTCCCTGTGGGGCTCCTCTGGCAACAGGAGCTGCTTCGCCTCATAGCTCCTTGCTTCACATCGGTGAACAGGGCCAGGCCAGGCTCTGCTGCCCCTCCACACCTTAGATACCTCTGTCCCTGCCTGACCACTTTCCTTGGCAGTGGTGAGGTTGCGATACATGAACCTGGGTCTCCTCCAAAGGGGAAGTGGAGGTGGAGAGGTTCAGACCTGGACAGTGATAGTGTAAGCACAGGAGCAGGGCCTCGCTCCCGTGTCTGATATAGGAGGTCCTGAAGACGGCTTAGACATTAACTGATCTACCTCAGCAATCCCTTCACAGTGTCCCTGGCATTTGCTCATCGCTGCCACCTTCAGCACCGACTCACAACTGGCCCTCTAGCCATGGCTTGGTAAGCCACTCCATTAACTTCTGTCATCTTCTCTTCCCAGCTAAGCCTTGCTACCCCATTTTCTCCTCAGCTTCTCTTCAGCATTTTGGCTCCCTCACCTTGGCTATAGGGTCATCCTCTTCCCCTTAGTTATCCATTCAGGTTGCCTGAGGCACTTTTTACCCTTTGCTCAGAGCCTCATCGTGATAAGAGCACAAAACATCCCATTGTATGTGTGCAAAAATGTGTTTTCATTCTCACATGCTGTTCCACCACACCTAGCTCGACTCTGTACCGTGAGCTCTGTTTATTACAGTGCCAGATCATGTGTGGACTGGGTAGCAGCGACATTAAGGCACAGTAAAATCATTGGACCTCCTCCCATTTCTTCTGAGCTGGGAGAAATACCATAAGTGAAGCTATTCAGGTGCTCTTCAGTCAGAAGTGCACCATCCAGTGGTCTTTAAACTAACCAGGTGCAGTGGTCTAGAGAAGAGCAGATGTAATGGATCTTCAGCCTGCTGGAGGCATGAATGAGATGGAAGCAGAAGCACATCAGATGTGCTTGGACACCTTTATTTATGAAGTGAGCTGAACGAGTTGAGAGCTTGTGGGTTACAATTAAGGGACAGGCTCACACGGGTGACATTACGGTGGGTGTGTACTACAGGCCACCTGACCAGGAGGAGGAAATTGATGAGGCCTTCTACAGGCAACTGCAAGCAGCCTCACAATCACAGGCCCTGGTTCTCATGGGGGACTTCAACCACCCTGACATCAGCTGGGAAGACCATACAGCTAGGCAGGCGCAATCCAGGAGGTTCGTACAGAGCATCGATGATAACTTTCTGATGCAAGTGGTGGAGGAACCAACAAGGAAAGGCGCTCTGCTGGACCTCGTGTTAACAAACAAGGAGGGACTGGTGGAGGA